AGGTTGTCTAAAGAGGGGTGAACCAGCCCAGGTCAGAAGCTGAGCAGGTCATAAAATGTTTCTGAGAACCTGGATAAATGCCCTTCATGTGATTTTGATTAATGGCAGATTCTATTACATGAACACTTTATAAATATATACACATGTGTGTAAAGCATTTCAAAAGTGAAAACCAGTTACTAGACTCAGAGAGTAGAATTGTGGACTATTTAAAAAAAATATTACCATTGCAGTGATACTATAATTATTTTGTCTTAATTAAGTCATACTGAAATCACTTGAAATAACTTCTAGAAAAAAGATATAAACTACTTCCCAGGATGTTAAACAACTCTTAAATAAAGATGGGAAATCTTTGCTAATTTATGAGAATAGAAGAAAAGTCGTAAGACTAGAAATGGGGATTGGAGGCATGGCCCAATTGGTAGAGCGCTAGCCAAAGAGCAAAAGCATAAGGAGCCGAGTTTGAGTCCCATCTTGGACCACAAAAAAAAAAGAAAAAACTAAAATTGAACAATCTAAACTCCACATACAAGGAAAAAATGGGGCTTGTGAAGGCTAATTAGCATTGATTATTGGCAAAATTCTAAAGATCATTTGAGAAAGAAATGTGCATAACAACTAGGATCCACTCAGAATGATACAATATAAACTATATAAGTTAGTTATTGGGAGACATATTTTTAAAACAAGTGAGTTGGATTTTTTTCTTCTTTGCCTTTTTGATTAAAGTCCCAGAAGTATCTGAGAATTGAGTTGCATAGAGAACACTTGGATGAGAGCAGGATGACAAATGAACAGGCTGCAAAACAGTCTTTCCTCAGGCCCCTCCAAACTGCCCTCTAATGGCTCTAAAGAATTCCTTTGGTTCTTTTCAGGGAGGCAGTAACAACACTTCTCAACAGGGCTGGGAAAGAAACTGCAGAGAGCCTTGAAAATCAACAGGGCAGATAAATGCCTGGTTCCTGTACAGGACACCTAGCCCAGTCAACTGTGTATTCAGTGAATTATAACCTGCCATAATGCTGTTAAGAGTGGCCTTGCTTTGTAGTTTTCCATTTGTTGTTAGTATTCATTATCTGAATTTATTATTATTACTGGAGATTGAATTTGAAGCCTCACATTTGCTAGCCTATTGCTCTACCACCTATACCACACCCCCAGCCCTTTTGCTTTCTTTTTTTGTTCATCAAATAGTTGCCTGCATTTGCCTGGTTATCTCATGCCCCAGTTTTCCCACCTCTGCCTTCCAAGTAGTTAGGATTAAAGGTATGAGCCATCATGCCTGGCCATGTTGTTGTTGTTCTTCTTCTTTGTGTGTGTGTGTGTGTGTGTGTGTGTGTGTGTCTATGTCTGTGTCTGTGTGTCTGTGTTGGTCCTAAGCTTGAATTCAGGGCCTGAGTGCTGTCTCTGAAAAACTTAAGGCTTGAGCTCTACCACTTGAGCCACAACTCCACCTCTGTCTTTTGGTGGTTAATTGGAGACAAGAGTGTCACAGACTTTCCTACCTGGGCTAGCTTTAAATAGAGATCCTCAAATCTAAGCCTCCTGAAGAACTACAATTACAGGTGTGAGAGGTGTGAGTCAACCAGCATCTGGCAATGTTATTATTTTTTTGGGGGGGGGTCCAGTCGTGGGGCCTCAACTTTGGGCCTGGGTGCCATCCCTCAGCTCTTCAGCTCAAAGCTAGTGCTTGAGCCACAGTGCCACTTCCAGCTTTTTTTTTTTTTTGCTTATGTGGTGCTAAGAAATCGAACCCAGGGCCTCAAGCATACAAGGCAAGCGCTCTACCACTGAGCCACCTTCCCAGCCCAATGTTATTATTTTTAATCAAAGGAAATAACAAATCTAAAATGTTTCAACATGCACAAAAGAATGGTGACGCTATTATTATCACTACTAGTTTTGGGTGGTCTTCTGTTGGTAGGAATTTATGTTCTGTAGTATACATTTGCACTCAGAAAAACAGTTTTGTAAAGAGATCCTAATAGGAGAAATCTAAATGTCCCAAAATATGAATATGAAGCCTTAGTCACACACCATCAATGAACAAAAGCACAGAAAATCTTCACCTAATGCAGTGCCATAAGGAAGGGTCTTGAGCAAGTCAGAATATGGTTTTTCTACTAAAATCCTTAATACATCAAGTGTTAGTAGAGTCATGGTTTCCATCTCCCGCTCTTGGGCAGAAGATAAAGCACCTGGCTGGGTGTGTCCTGGTGCCTTGCTTAAGAGCCAGATGTTAACTAGAGCAATCAGCATGGCTGATTTGTCATATATGACATTTTTCAGCCAGGAAAGAAACTACTAAAAATATATTCCATAAGGAAAAATAGTCATTCTGACAGGTGAGCTGAACAACAGGCATGAGAGAACTTGAGTCTTACTGCCCCAACCATGTCTCTGCAAGCAAGAGCAACTACTATGAGGGACTGGAAGGAGGAAGCCTTTTTTCCCACATAGGTAGAATTGGTCTGACTGAGGTAGATGCCTACATGCAGAGATAAAACTATAATCCCTTTCACCTGCACAAGCTTGGTATTCTAACTGGTCTTTTGGCATCAGGTGTGTAAATGCTATGACAGCCAATGAGAATGAAGGTGCACACTGTATCTGGCAAACTCTTCTGTCTCCTGCTCTCCACCCAGCACTTAGAATAGGAACACATTTGCTGGAGGACCCAGGCTGAAGGAGGAAGATATTGCCTGCAGCTCATTTACCAGAGGCAGGCAGGATCATGCTAAGGAACCAGAAAAGAGTACCAATGGTGACTTCTCTGACCCTGAACTTTCACATACTGATAGAGGCCTGGAAGTGGGCACAGAGCTGACAGGCACCTGACCTCTAGAACTCCTGGGTACCCATCAAAGGTATCTATTCCACACCTGATACAGTATCCAATGCCCATAGCCAGCAAGGGGAAAAGTCCACCTTAGTGCCAGAAAGTGTTTGAAAAGCTCTTCAAATCATTTGCCACACTGCAGGACAGTCCTTTATTTAGATTGTATTTGTCCATGAAAATCAATAGGTCCTTCCTAGTCTTTACTGTATGAGAAACTGTGCCTGTGGCTCTCATCACTCAGTGTTGCCCTGAGGATGGTGTGTAACTGTGCTGTGTTGTCAAGTACCCCGCAAAGCACACCACACGCATTAGTGCTGCTTGTGACCCTCCTGAGTGCTAATTTTAAAAACTTGCCTCGCTTTCCAACATGCCTCCATGGTCTGTTTTCAAGGACTATTTTTGTTCTCTTTTCCCACCATGCCTGACAGAGGATGAGTAGCTGTTTTCTGGTCCCCCACAGCTAAGGTAGAGAGAGAACTGTTTTCCCACCTAACTTTCTGCCTCTTTTTGGGCCCATACGAAAAGCACTCTTTACATATACTCCTTGAATCCTTTATTCTCCCTTAGCTCTACAGAGGGGTTTAAAATACTCTAAGAGGTAGCCAAATTCTGTCTGACAGAGATTTAAACAGTCAGTGTTCTGAATTTTAGCTACATAGTCATTGTTCTGAGTTTTTTCTATGCTGCAAAGAAAAAAAAATGCTCTCCATGAGTGGAACTCATTCACATTACCACTGTTGGAAGGGAGAGGTTGTAGGGCTAAGCTGAAGCAAGCTAGAAGGATCTTTCCAATCACCTTGCAGAACAGTAGGGTCAGCTAAGGCAGACAGCTCCCACAGGACAGAGCACTTCTGACTGGGTTGGTACTAGATTAAAACAATGGTTAAGATGATGTAAGAGTTTCATCTTACACATCATGAACTACACAACTGTTTACTAAAATACATTTCAAGAAGGGGCGAGTATCATGTGCATTGACTATTGTAAACTGTCATATTCCATTCTCACATTTACACAAAGCATTTTAAAGTGCTCAGAACTGCTTCCCCCACCCCCAGGAAAGAAAAAGGGAATATACGTATTTATATGTTGTTTAAAATGCAGAAGGGAGAAAAAATAGATTCATAAATAGCTTGAACAGTGGCTTTCAGATAAGTTAAGAAAAACTGGAGAATTATAAATGTCTAGAGCAATGAGTCTAACTAACCCCACGATCACACATTTTTTACAAACCACTTGTGCTGTGTATACAGAACACAACAGCTCAGCAAGGGAAGACTCAAGACACAAAGTGGGTGCTGGGGTCTTAGTGCTTCAGGCTAGAGTACCTGCTCTCCTAGAACACTGGAATCTTCCTGGCATCCTTCCTCCACTCCAGTGATATTTACTAAAGTCTTAAGAAAACATTTTGAGGGAACACTGGGGCAGCAAAGTCTAAAGTCAAATATCTTTGGAGAGATTGAACAGGAGTGGGGAGAGGGTGGGAGTAGGAAGGGAATTCTCAAAAGCTTTTCTGGCTACAACTTCAATTCTTTCAGTGGCTTTAGTCTGCGTCCAAGCCAAGTGTGTGTTGGCCGACGTCTGCCAAAAAGAACGTCTGGGAACAGGACACTATTTGCATGGATAGATATTTTTGACAGGAGATGCAGGGACAACCAGCAGATGGGAAGGACAGACCGACGGTCCTGGCACCAGCAGACCTTGAAAGAGGTCAGCGGCCTCATTCCCTAGGTGGGCCATCCCTGCCTCAGCGAGTGTGGCACTTGATAGGATGATGAGGGGTATTTCAGGCTTTTGTTTTAGAAGAGGGGCGTTCTTTCCATATGCCTATCAGGACAGGTGTCTGGGTGTAAATTAGGGAAGGCTGGTGCCCCCTCAGAGGTGGCTTGCAGCGTCACTGTCACCGCAGTGGATGGACAGCAAAAAGCCCTCGCTTCACACCCAAGTGACAGCAGGAAATTCAATGAATGCGGGGCTCTTGGACACACAGACTAGCATCACTTTGGCTGGGATTTGAGGTCCCCCGCTGGCTGGCACCAGCTTGGGAACCCCCTTCTATCCCTCCACCCCCCCCCGTCTGCAGGAAGAGACATATGGCGACCGAAGGGGGAAAAGGCTCATCAGAAGGACGCGGGGACCAGGTGTTCGCGGCCCTTACCTTGCTGACCACGTTCTGGACAAGGCCGGTGCGGATGCCATAGTCCCACGCGTGGCAGTCGCAGTTAGAAGCGTTGTCCCCCTTGTCCGGAGGCGACGGGAGAGGCGGCGTGTCCCCTCCGTCCGGACCGCTGCTGTTGCTCCGGTTGCCCGCGGCCCCCCAGGCGGCAGTGAAGAAGGGGGTGGTCGGGGGGCTGGTCCAATTGCTCATGTCACCCCACCGGCCGGTGACAGTAGCCCCCGCCACCTCGGCGCCTTTGCCGGCCCCACGACACCAGAAGTTGGGCTGGTCCAGAAGGAAGGAATCCGAGAACTGGCTGAAGCCGATGAACAGCGCGGGGATCCAGGTGAGCAGCACGAGGGTCTTCTGGTAGCTCCCGCCCAGGCCCCCAAGGAAGGGCAGCACCGACCCGTCGTAGTCCAGCAACAGGAGGCTCGGGGCCGCCGCCGCCGAGCAGCAGCTCGAGTGCGCGCTGCCGCCGGC